AGGAAGCAAGGAAGGGGTCACTTGTGGAGGATTCGGGAGGACAGGTGTGTGAGGGAAGTGAGGGGTTTTAGACTCAGCCCTGCTGGCTGGTGGTCTTTGAACCATGGACTGAGAATGAGATGATGTTGGGAGGCCCGTAGGGAGGGCGCACAGAGGAATGACTTGGGGACCCTCCCCAGCCAGGTCTCCAACCCTAAGCCAGCCTCTATGTCCATATGCAGGGCTGAGAGGGCCGTCCTGGGGGTGACCGGAGCATCGAGTCCCTCTGGGGAGCTGCCTGCCAAGTCCCATACGCAGCCTTTGATGTCCCCGGAGCCTCCAGCAGTTTCTCTCAGGGCACATCAGGGGCTCTGGTTTTGGAAAAGGCCCGGCATCACTGGGTGCCAGAATAATGATCATAAATGAACCAGCACAGATTGGAAAAATGGGAGGAGTCAGATGCATCCGAGTGTGGGTCCCTGCTTCTCTCCAACGTCTCCATGAAACCGTGCAAGGAGCTGCCCGGTCCTGAGCCTCAGTTTTCTCATCTGGAAATAGGGCCAGCTCACATCCTTCCTGGGTCAAGTGAAGAGGAAACTTTGAGGGCTGTGAATGTCAGCACCTTCAGTCTAATGCCTGCGGACATGCGGGGACCCCAGTGAAGCAAACTCTCCTCTCACCAGGACCCACGTCCGTGGAGCTTTCTTTCCCAGAATGAACAGAAACCATGGCAACTGGGATATGGCAACCTGTCCCAGTGATGGCGGGCAGAAGGGCCTGTCACGGATGCAGGCCCCACGCACAATTCCACCCGCTGTGGAGTGACCCACAGGGACCCCTTAGCCCTCCCCCCCTGCCTGAGGTAGGACTGAGAAGTTCGGTCCTGACTTTGGGTTTCTCTTCAACCTCAGATTTTATTATTACTTAATAATCAATGCTTGTCCCAGAAAGCAGGCCTCAAGTGAGATAACTTGAAGCAATCCTGCCTCCCGCCCATGTCCTGCTGGGTGCACTGGGAGTTGTCAGGATGCTGCTGGAGGTGGGCGCTGAAGTGGCAGCAAATCTGCTCTGAGAGGGAGGGCCGTAAGCCTGTGAGCTCGTTCAGCCTTCAGATGGCCGGCGAGGTGGTGGCTTAGTAACCCACTGTACAGAGAGCCTCAGCCCGTTACCCGGGCTTCACAGCTAATAACTGGCAGAGCTGGGATTCAAACCTGCATCTTCATGCCCCAGAACTTATTTCCACACTGGCTTTAGCTGAACTGTAGGCCCAGCCACCACATAGCAGGGAAAAAGCATTTGTCACTCCCTGCATTGGGGGGTGACTGGTCTGTGATGCTTGCCCTCAGTACAACCGGTTCAGGGCTGGTGGAGGGGCATCTGAGGCAGCCGTGCAGGCCAGGGGTGTTTTCCAGCCCTTGTGTTTCTGCCTTAGGGCCTCCTTGTGCAGCTCTGGCAGAAAGGGACAGGTGCCCTCACTTCTAGAAGCATGGTCTTGCCTTAGCTGGAAGTTGAGGGTGGAGCTTCCTGGAGCCCGTGGCTTCACCTGCGTCTGCAGCCATCTAGCCTGGATGCCAAAGCCCCAGCTTGGGCAATCCCCCTGTCTCTTGGAGCCCCAGTGTCCTTATCTAAAATGAGATCAGTGACTCAGGCACAGAGTAGCCTAGTGGTGTGGGCATGCATGTTAGGCCTTAGGACCTGAGTTCCAGTTCTGTCTGTGACAGTTACTAGCTGTACACATCTAGTAAGTTACTTAACCTCTCTGTGCCTCAGTTCCTCCTCTGTGAAATGGGGATAATAATTGCATCTACTTAATTGGTGGTAAGGCTTGCACAGGGATTTCATCATATTGGGACTGGAGGAGTTGAGCAAGAAGAAAGGATAAAACTTAGGTCTAGCTTCTGGCGGTTTCTGGGCAAAAGCTGAAGTTAGCACAGTCAGTCCAAGCCTGCTCCGCTGCGCTCAAAGTGCAGCTCTGCTGCCGGAACCCAGCCAGGGGGAGGGTGTCTATGTGCAGGGGATGGGAACTGATTAAGAATAGGACAGATGCCAAGACTAGTGAGGCATTTTAACAGAATGAGGCTGGAATGTGGCATTGTGTAAGTCCCACAAATGAATCCATGCGGTGGGGTTGGAAGATGAGTGAGCGTTCATTTGCTGAGACCATTCGTATTGTCAGACGTGAGTTTAAACTGACCCTGCAGCTTAGGAGCTGTGTGGCCTCAAGAGCTTACTTCTCTGAGCCTGTTGGCGCACCTGAAAAGAAAAACGCCTCATTTCATTTTGCCAGATTGTCTAAGGATTAAAGAGGAGACAGAAAGTACCAGTGCCTGGCACAGAGTAGGTGCTTACTAAGCACCCCAAGAGTGTTTTATGGGGTGCTGATTTGATTCAGTCGGTGCTGCTACTGAGTGACCACAGGGATATGCCCAGATATGCTGCAGAGGTTTCTTTGTATGGTTAAGGGGCAGGGAGTCATGCCCTGTGTGAGACACTTTTCCTTAGGGAAAATGAAGTCACAGGACTTGTTCACCTGGATAGTGCGGTCCAGGGGTGTATGGAGCTTGGGGTACTGCAGGCCAGTCCCTGGGACAGTGTGGCTGAGGGATGGGGCATTGGGTGTAGAAGCTTGGTGCAGCGCTCAATCAAGAAACTTAAAACACAGTGTGAAGACTTTTGACCTTGAGGACAGTGGGGCCATTGAAGAATTTCAAATGGCAGGTGTCACATTTGTTTTTGGAAGAGATAGTCACCTGCTCTGTCACCCAGCCTTAAGTATAGTGCCATGATCATAGCTCACTGCAGCCTCCAACTCCTGGGCTCAAGTGATCCTCCTGCATCAGGCTCCTGAGTAGCTGGGATTACAGGCATGTGCCACCATGCCCAGCTAATTTTTTTTTTCCCTGTTTTTCAGAGATGGATCTCAATATGTTGCCCAGGCTGGTCTTGAATTCCTGACCTCAAGTGATCCTCCCATGTCAGCCTCTCAAAGTGCTGAGATTATAGGTGCGAGCAATCACACCTGGCAACTTTTTTTTCCCCCCAAGAAAACTACTGATTGGCCTGGAAAATCAAAGGGGGGGAGGGTGAGCTAAGAGGCTGCTATGGGGATCCAGGCCAGAACGGTGAGAGGCTGAGCCAGAGTTACAGGGATGGAGGGGGAATGAGAGGTGACTGCAGAGGATGAGGCAGTGATCAGGGCACCCTACGCCTGTGGCGTGGCACTTTGGTGGTCAGTACTTTGCAGAGAGGAGGCGCATGGGATTAAGCACCCACAAAATCCCAGTGGGTGTGAGGATCTAGACAGGGCACCTTAGAAGCGCAAAGCGGCTTTAGTCACTTCCCTTGGGTGAGATTTGTTTAATAGAAGCTTGTAGCTTCTCAGCACTTAACAGGTGCTGACGGGGGCATCATAATATTGTGAAATTAAGCTGTGAAGCCGACTTCATTACCAGCTTACCTGGCGATGCAGCAGCTGCCTCAGTTAGCACTGACGGTTGGGCATGACAGAGCTAAAATTGAACTTGGCAATTACCACTCACGAGAGGCTCTTGGTGCTGTGAAAGGAAGGTTCCATGGAAATCAACCCTGGTAATCACAGGGTTTAAAATTAGTCAGTTACTATTAAGGTTGCTCTGTCAGCGTATGCTTCAGGGTGATGTGAGGGAAGGGGGCATGGAGGCTTGGGTTCAGGCTGTTGTGGGTTACCTTATGTTCACCTGCAATGCATTTAAGAAAAAAAATTAGTTCTAGGACAAAGGTTCGAGAGTCCCAGTGTTAATATCACGGTGCATGGTGGCCATTTGTATGATGAGTGATTTTAAAGCCCTGTTTTTTTGTTGTTTGTTTTTGAGACGGAGTTTCGCTCTTGTCACCCAGGCTGGATTGCAATGGCGCGATCTTGGCTCACTGAAACCTCTGCCTCCTGGGATCAAGCGATTCTCTTGCCTCAGCCTCCTGAGTAGCTGGGATTACAGGCAGGTGCCACCACACCCAGCTAATTTTTGTATTTTTAGTAGAGACGGGTTTCACCACGTTAGCCAGGCTGGTCTCGAATTCCTGACATTATGTGATCCACCCCCCTCAGCCTCCCAAAGTGTTGGGATTACAGGCGTGAGCCACAGTGCCCGGCCTAAAGTCCTGCTCTTTTGATTTGCGTAAGCTCACACCCTCTCTCAGCTTTGGTGTTTTGACTTGAGGGGGTTTCCTGACTCACTTCTGGCCTCTCTTTGGGATGTTGCGTGGGAAGAGCTCAGCTCTCTGTGGATTCCTCCTTGCCCCGGAGGAAGGAATGATGTGTTAGGATGGAAGGTTCCTGAGTCCTTCACAGAATTATTTTTGGTAAACCTTGGCTGGAACATCTCAGCAATCTCAGAATATTTGTCCCCATTTTGTGAATAAAGACAGCAAGGGGCCGACGTGGGCTTGGCTGCTGCAGCAGCGAGAACCAAGGGACAAAGCTTATAATGACGCGGTTGTGAGTTTGCCTGGGCTGCGTGCACTGACCCTCATGAATAAGAAGACGGAAGCCGACTTGTTGCTGTGAGCCTCAGCTTCCTCATCTGTAAAATGGGAACTTGTTTTGTGCAGGTGTGAGGATTAAATGAGATCATCAAAGCACAATAGAACCTCAACATGGTGGCTGTCAGCTATTACCAGTGATATTTTTGGACCGGATCAAGCACTTTCCATAGATGACAGCTGCTTTGCACAAAAATCCCATCAGGAGGGAACAATTATTCCCGTCTTAACATCAGTAAACAGAGGCTCAGAGAGGATATCAATTTGGCCAGGTTCTCTGGACTAGTAAGGGCGCAACCAGGATTCAAAGCCAGGCACTGTGGCCACAGAGCCTGGCCATTGTCCCTGCCCCTCGCCCTAGAAACAGCTGAACAACAAGAAAACAAGTAGCAGGCTCATGCCTTTAATCCCAGCACTTTGGGAGGCCAGGAGAAGATTGCTTGAGGACAGGAGTTCAAGACCAGCCTGGGCAACATAGTGAGATGCTATCTTTACCAAAAAAAGGAAAAATACAAAAATTAGCAGGGTGTGGTGGCACATGCCTGTCGTCCCAGCTCCTTGGGAGGCCGAAACAAGAGGATCTCTGGAGCCTAGGAATTCAGGGCCGCAGTGAGTTACGATCATGCCCTTGCACTGCGGCCTGGGCAACAGAGGGAGACCCTGTCTAAAAAAATAAATAAAAGAAAAGCAAAAAGACAACACGCAGCCTGGACAAGCTGCCTCCATGGATGAGAAGAGAGAAGCATGAAAACTGAAAGATCATTTCCAAAAGGCTGCAGCTCCTCCACAGGAAGCTGAGTCATCTCTCTTTGTTTTGAACCATAACCATCATGCTGCCTCAGAATCTGAAAAAGTAAAAAAGAACTAAAAAATGCTGAGTTCCTTCATGGTGCAGAGGCCCTTCTTGTCTCTACCCCAGAAGGAGCCGAGTGGAGGGGCCACAGAGATGGGACCCCCTCCAACGCACACTAAATACCTCCGCCTGAATATGTATTGCAAAACCGAGAGCACCGCGCCTGCACACCCTGGGATTTGCCTTGCTAAGTCTCAGCTGTCCCACCTGCCACGTGCACCTGCCGCAGCCCTGCCTGCCCTGTGGGGCTGGTGCTCTCGGGGTGCAGGAGTCAGGGTTGGGAGGCTGCTGTCTCACCTGCACACTTGTGGACAGCACGATCACAACCCCAAATGCCTCCTCCCAGCACATTTGGCAGAATCCAGTCCAGAATCTGGGCCTCGGCTTAGCTCTTGTAAACTCCTCTCCTACAGATGCTGGGGTCCAGTGAGTGTTTGATGAAGAATGCATGGGCTTTCTGTGCTTGTCTGGTATCACCCAGCTTCTGCCTTTTAGAATGACTCGTTCCTTCTTTGTGTGCTCAAACTCTGCCTCTTCTCCAAATCTCAGCTTGAATGACACCATTCTTATGAAGCTCGTGCCCAGGCGACTAACCTGAGACCCTTAACCGTAAGCACCGTTTCCGTTGTATTATAGTTACCTCCATGTGTGAGCTGGGCTGCCTGTGAGGACAGGGGCAGTGTTCTGTTCATACATTGCTCCAGCATCTGGAATTATGACCTACGTGAATTAAGGAGGAGGCAGAGGGAACAAAAAAGTTTGTTGAGTGAATGAATAAATAAATGATACTTGAAGGATTTTTACCTTTGTGTTTTCTTTGTGACAATCAATTACACCTTTCACTTATCTCTTGTTTCCGATGAACAAGTTTAACATTCAACAAACAACATGGCTTCTTTCAACATCAACAAATGCCCATCATTTTTCAGGGCTGCATAGTATTCCACTGTACCAAGAGCCATGATGTATTTATCCACTCCTCTATCAATGGACTTTAATTGTTATTTTCATCTTCTTATAAACAACGATGCAATAAATATCCTGGCCACACAAATTTGAGCCTAGAAAGTTCTTTCTCATCCAAAGCTTATATAAATATTCATGGACAGTTTCTTCTTGCATGCTTACAACTTTGTATGTGTTTCTAAATCTTTGGTATGTCTGAAATTTTAATCCATCTTTGTATCATGGTGCAAAATCCACCTCTCTTTTGCCTTGAGATGAGTGCCACGTGCCTTGGATCTATTGGTTGTGTGCACTTTCTATTTGGTGAGCACCCACTGTGTGTCAGGCGCCGTGCTGGGAGCCGGGACCCAGAGATGAGCAAGACAGACGATCCTGACCATGAAGAAGCTCAGAGCCTAGAGAAGAACAGTAAGCACAGAAACAAAAGTCATCAAACACATAAGCAGAAACCATTGGCTGGAGGTGTGTGCTATGGACAAAATAATTCAGGTGCAGGTGAGATTAGAGGAGCTCTCTTTGGGGAGGAAGGAGATCTTTGAGCAGAGCTGAAAGGATGAGAAGCCGTCAGTTGTGTGAAGGTCGGGGAAGAACATTCCAGGCAGAGGGAACAGCATGAGAAAGGTACAGAGGCAAAGAAGCAAGACTTTTTTCTTTCTGGAGCCTTTTGTAACCCACCCCCACTCTCTCCCTCCTCCTGCAGACATGCTGGGCACCAGCCGCCTTTACCACATGAAATTTGCTCTTCCCAGGCCGTTCTCTCTGCCTCTTAGTATTGTTAGCAGTGTTCAGGAATAGGATGATTGCCCAGCGTTCTTCCTGCTCAGTCTGGATCCTCTCTCAGCTCTAGGATGCTTCCTCAGCAGCCTTTGCTTCTTCTGAAATGTCCAAAAAATTAAAATTAGTTTAATAGCATCCAGCACAGTACATGGCACTTAATAGGTACTATTACCCCCATTTTACAGGTGAAGAAACCGAGGCTCAGGGAAGTTAGCCATTCCAGCAGGCAGAGCTAGGATTCAAACCTAGCCCTGTCTTATTTCAAAGTCTGCCTTCTTCGCGGAGCCCTAGTTTAACTGCATTTGTGGGAAAGCTGATGAGAGACTGCTGGTTAATCCCTAGTGCCTCGGGCCAGCTTATTCCCAAGCGCTTGGAGGCATGTGGTGGGTGACCTTGGCCTTTGGCCTGATGGCTTCAGAAGAGTGGAAAGAAACCAGGGGAGGTTCTTATTTTTTTCATTTTAAATTACAAATGTAATACATGCTTGTGGTAAAGAATAAAAAAATGAAACGAGAAAAAAGCAGCAACTGAAAATATCTCCTCCTCCCTAGTGTAACCACTATTAACAGCCTGGTATCTTTTACAGGGCGTGTTCAAACATATACATATACACAGTTACTATTTTTATAAAAATGGAACCGTGTCCTTGACTTTTTCTTCCAGCCAGTTCCAAGTCAGTTCCTCTATACCTTCCTCATTCCATTGGATGTATTTCAGTGTATTCAACCAGACCCTGGCTTTCGACATTTAGCTGTCTCTAATTCTCTCCGTAACAAGCAACATCCCTGGGCACGCATCCATGCACTGAGTACAGGTATTTCTGCAGGATGGATGCTCAGAAGTCTAATTGCTGAATGAAAGGGCGTGTAAGTTTCACACGTTGACAGGTGCTGCCAATTTGCCTTCCGAAGGCTCTTCCAGTGCACCACCCCTCCCAAGGCAGCGTGTGTGAGTGGGGAAGGCTCTTAAGCCACAGATGACGTGGAGCTGCGCTGTATTTAGGGGCTGCCTCCTCTACTCCCCGAGACCTGGCGTGAAGACCGCCACCAGGAGCTCTGAACACGCAGGCCCAAATTGGAAGAAGAGATGGATTTTGATAAAAGAGGTTAAATAACAGGTTTCTCCATTTCACCTTATATGAACGGGATGGGGGGTGGGGGTGCCGGGCCTCCAGCCAATAGAGGACCAAGAGTTGTCAGGAGGGCTTATAAAGCTTGCTATTTCTGGCATTTTTTCTCTTTCTCTGCTGATTATGCAGCAGACTCGCACAGAGGCTGTCGCGGGCGCGTTCTCTCGCTGCCTGGGCTTCTGTGGAATGAGACTCGGGCTCCTTCTACTTGCAAGACACTGGTGCATTGCAGGTGTGTTTCCGCAGAAGGTAAGCAGCGGGTGCCCGCCACCCCCTGGGGTGGAGGTGGTCAGGCCGTCCCTGCGCGCTGAAGACAGGTGATGTCTGGGTCACGGCAGGCAGGGACTTGGACTGGTACCTGTCACATTCTGGAATGAAGATGCTTTAGAGGGGCCAGGAGGCCTGCAGTTGGCAGCTCCTTTTTGGAAAGGAATTCTGGAGGCGGTTAGGGTTGGCTTCTGGAGAGCAGGGTCAGGCTGTGGTCTGGCGCCCAGGAAATGTTCATTCATTCATTCAGCACACACTGCAGTGGGCCTGGCCAGGTGTGCTGGCCAGGTGTGGGTTGGGGATCTGGCTGATTCAGACTGGAAACAGTGGGAGCAGTGATGGGGATGGCCCATGGCTTGGGAGGAGCCCAGAATATACCTGGGCTGAAGAGGGAGAGGGGCCTTCCAAGAAGGCAAGAGGGGTGAGGAGCAGCTGAGGACGTTATCAGGAACACCCGAGCTGCCTCTTCCACTGGATTTTGGAGTTTGAGGAATCAATAAAAATTCCTCCCCAGATTTGGTGAATGCCAACCTTTCCTTTTGTTAAGTAAGGACATTGAAAAATAACCAGTTGGGATCTCCACACACCATACTTTCGTAGAAGAAAGGCAAGCAACAAATGAGAAAGGACCTAGTCACAGACTTAAGGGGACACACATGCCCTGAATAGGGAGCAGAGATTTCAAATGCAGAAACCTAACGTGAGTGGCCATCTCAGCTGTGCCTGGGAGGCTATCTTGGCGATGGGAATTGGCTGCGTTGGGGGTGGGGCTTGTTGCTGTTGATGGTGCTGCACCCAGTAGACCAGGAGGCCCGACCTCTTCTGGTGCTCTGATTTATCACAGCCATTGTTGAAATCTGGTTTCCTGCATGTGGGTCTCGGCAACAGAAGCCTCTCCCTCAGGTCCGCTTTCCGTCATTTGGAACATCCTGGGTGAGCTGGGAGAGACCAGGAAACACCAGCTTCTGTGCCTCCTGTGATGCTTTCCACCTTCTTCACGCGGCCTGAAAGCCTGCAGGAGGCAGTGGGCCCAAGTCTGCAAGGGAAGGCTGAGGAGCCAGCTGGCCACAGAACATAGCTATTGAGCACCTACTGTGTACTGGGGTCTGGGTTAGGTACTGCTCACTAATCTCAGCTCAGCCACAAATACAATCTGTGAGCAAACCAGCTCTTTGAGCTTTCCATGTCTCAGTCTCTTCATAAAATGCGGACACTGATGCCTACTTTCTTGTGTTGTCATGACAGTGTGTATAAGCATTTACGTGTGTTCATGTGTATAGGTACACACACATGCACATGTGCACATGCACACTGCATAACACTTTTCCTGGTATGGTGGAAGGACGTCATTCACCAGGCACGAATGAATGAACAAATGACCCAGGACATCAACTCAGCTCATGAGGAGGGCGTGGCTCACAGGGGCATGTGTTTTTGTGCATCTGTGTGTATGACCCAGGGAGCTCTCTTCTTGTGCTTGGAGTCAGAGGCTCTGGAATCCATCTGAGGAGCTTAAAGGCAGGGCCACGTCTGTTTCACAGCCCTGGCTGATGGGAATTCTTTGTGTCTCTGGTCACTTCCATGGGTTCTTGATTGGGAGGGGAGTTCATGACAGGAACCAACTGGCCATCTTGAAACGGAACTGATCCTTTTAGTGTTAACTTCCCAAACAACTTACTGAAGACCACTCATGAGGACTGAGTTGGCAGGGCCCCTTACTTACGGCCAGCCAGTAAGCCAGTGTTCAGACGGCTCCCTGACCACCTGTTTGCCGAGAGCACCTGGCTGGAAAGGAGGGCACTGGAAGGAAAGGAGTCTTGGAAGGGAGAGAGTGGCTGAGAATTGCACCCCCACACATGCTCCCTGCCTGGAGAACAGAAGCTGAACCCAGCTTTAAGACCCTGTTTTAAGTCATGGCTCTGTTGCTTGCTGTGTGACCTCAGCACAGCAACCTCTGAGCCAGAGTTTCCATGCCTATAAAATGACTGATGATTAGGAGGACTAAGTGGGATAAAATGTATAAAGCACATTGCTGGTGCTTAGTAAATAACAGTGTGTTCTCCTGGGGAGGGAAGAGGCCCTGGAGAGCCTTTGCCTGAAATCAGGGTGTCTGCTGGCCTGCAGGGGCCAAAACACAGCAGGCACCTACCGACTCTTTTTGGGAAGGATGAAGGTGCGCAGAAGTAGGAGGCCTGAGTTGCAGGGCTTTTCCTGCCATTAGTAATTGCTGTGTGATCTCGGGCCAGTTCTTCATCTTCTTTGGACCCCTGATTCCCTTGGAAGAAGAATCCAGGCTGATAGACTCAACCCCTACTCCTCCTCTGCGTTGGAAATTGGGTGTGAGAGCCTGCAGAGCAGGATGAGCTTCATGTTTGAAATGAATCTCCTTTCCTCGGCCGGCGACATCCCTGATGACTTTCTCTCTTGCTTGCCTTGTGCATGAACAACCCGGTAATTAATGAAATTGGGAGCAGGGGCAGGGAGGCAGGTTTCCCGCAGAGACAGCTGGGGCCCTGTTGGGGCAGCCTCTCTGCCACCCACTGGGAGGCCCAGGGCTGCCCAGGAGCCACCGTCTCCGTCTAGCCAGGGGCCTGGTAGATGTTCACACATCTGGACAGTTGCAGAATGAGTCCTGAAATATCATAGATGGGGAGATGGGGAGTGAATGCTCCAGCTTCTCCTGGGCCTGGGAGCCGTTTTCCAGGGAGGGCCTGGGGACCTCCTGGTGTTGGGGGCTGAGATGAGCCTGGAGAAGGAATTCGGTGGACTTGGATTTGTAGCCTTTGCTCTCTTGACTTCTAGCTGTGAGGCTCCAGGCAGCTCACTTAACCTCCCTAGGTCTTCCTTGCTGTGAAGAGCAATTGAGGACATGGGAGCAGCAGCCCCCTAGTCATGGGGGCGCTGGTGGAGAAAGGCAGCTTTGATTTGCACATCCTTACCCCAGGGGGCTCATCTGGAAGGAGACAGTTACTCTTAATGGCCCTTTTCTCAATTCACACCCCCTCCACCCCAATATGCCCCTTCTACTTTGTGCCCGCTTTGTATAGATGACTGTCCACTCCTCGGCTTAGGCCACAGATGTGGGATCACCTTTGACCCCTCTCTCTGCCTTACTCCCTGCATCTCACCCACCTGCACATGCTGGCTGCACCTTCAGGGTGCAATGACGTCCCCCGGCTTCACTATTACCTATCACCCGGGTGACTGCAGGAGCCTCCTCCCAGGCCTCCCTGCCTCCACCCGTCCCCCTTAGTCTGCTCTCCCGGCAGCAGCCAGTGGGATCTCTGAGAACCACCTGATGCGTGCAGCCCTCCCTGCTTAGAGCCTTTGGTTGATGTCTTTTGTAATCAGCTGGATCTGTGCTGATGCCTTTAATAAGCCCACTTGGGGGGCTGGGCACCTGTTAGATCTCACTTTGCAGTCCGCAAGCTAGCTTCTAACTCCTGCAGAATCACTGTCCCGCTCCCTCCTCAATCCCCTTTCCCACTCACCAAGCTATTGTGCCTCTTAATTTTACACTCAGACCCCTTTGTCCAGAATGTTTCTTTTACCCTTTGGACTCCTGTTTTTTCTTACAGGTGTGGTCACGACATCCAAGGCTTTCCAGAAGCCTTCTCTGATTGCCCCCTCAGTCCACCTGCAACTGTCTGAGCCAGGAGCCCCTTCCCTGTGCCCACTTCTGTCATTGTCCTCCCCATCAGTGCTGTGGTACTCTGGGAGGACATCACCCACGATGATGTATGTTTCTCACACGGGCTGCAAGGCCAGACAGCACAGAAAAATTAATTTAGGCAGTAAATGCAAAGACCTCCCTGCAAATTAAGGGCCTGCAGACGTAGACAGACTGCAGTAGGATCCTCAGACTGTGGTTTGATTTGTCTGTGTGACTTTGAACAAGCCACCTAGCCTCTCCAAGCTTGGAGGGTCATGAGGATTGACAAGATGACATGCATAACAAATGTCGTGCTCTTTCCCACTTTTTTGGGATAGTAAGTGTTCCCAAAGACATCTGGAATGTTTAAGTAACCCCTCACTTTTGCTCTGAGCAGAGCAAACTCAACAATGCACAGAGGAGCCCACCACAGAACCCCAAACAAGGGCAAAAATAGCAGCCATCGGGGCAACCTGAGATGCAGAAGCCACAGGAAGAAGCCGCAGGCCAAGCGGATGTCAGCTGCTCTGAGGCCCCGCTGAGGTTTCTCGGATGTGCCTAGCTATGCAGCCCTCACGCCTGCCCTCGCTGGCTCCCTGACCACAGCATCAGATAAGGCAGTGGAAAAAGTGCTGGCTTCCTCTCTCTGGGGAGGGGTAATCTCAGTGCCATCTGCGGGGCACACTCCATCCCTAGTTGCCTCTCTGGCCTCCCCTCCCCTCCTCCCCTCCCCCCTGCTTGCTCTGCCTGTCTTTACTGGTCTCTTTGCTGACCGGGTCACACCTGCCGGTGACCCCCATCTCAGGGTCTGTACATGCTCTCCCCAGCACATCTGCCTGGCCCATTCCCGCGCCTCCTTCCAGTCTTTGCTCCACTATCACCTCCTCAATGAGGCCCACCTTGACCGCTCTGTTTAAACTTGCATACCCTCCATCTCCGCGTCCCCAATACCCCTCACCTGCTCAACTCTGTTCTTTCCACATACCATGTAAGTCACTTATTGATTATGTGTATTGTTCTGTCTCCAGGGGTCTTTGCTGTCTCCCAGGGGCCCAGA